TTCCGACGTCTGATTTCTTTTTAAAAAATGCGTTTTAAAGTGCATAAACTTTTGGGATTGACTGTATAGCCAATACATCCTTAATCAAAATAAGACCGATATAAGTTTCAAAAATGAAATTGAAATTCTTCCTATAAAATGTATAGTATAAAGCAGATCTACAAATCCAATGATCTACATAATTCTCCGAGCCTTGCAATCCGTCAAGTAGTATGACCCGTGGATTAATGGCGATATGAAACGACTAATGGGAATGGAACTCGGTCAGTATAAAACGTGACTAACGCCTGACATTTCAGTGTTAAACTGTTCAATAGGCGCGAGTGACGTACGCGGAAAAGCAGCCGTGCGGTTTGCGAGCAATAAATTAGAGAAGGCAGCGCGATAGAAAAATCAGTCCCGTGTACGTACATACGGAGTCGGATTCCTGGAACCGGAACGACATCCTTGTACCGCTGGTGTCTTCTTAGCAATTATTCCCGCGGCTCGACAAAAACCGGACCGAATAATGCTCGTCCGTCCGTCGTATAAGGACAGATCGTCGGTGGTGTCCACTCTTCTCGGCGGACTAGTTTCAGTTTATGCGACCGTCAGCGTGATCCGACTTTGATGCCCGTTCATTAGTGTCCGTTCGTTATCGAAGATCCGGTAAAAAGCTATATGCCAGTTTCGGTGACTTTAAATATAGAAAAGCTGATCAAATTTTATTTCAAGGACGATCAGTGTTTGAATAAAATAATTTTACCATGAATTCTAAATCTTTCTAACGAATCGTTCACGTCGAAGAAATGACATGATTTTTACAGAAATGAAGGGTGCGTTTTTGATCGTTGCGAGCGTGCTCTGTATGAGAACCCTCGGTCTGCCGAACGGCGCGCCTGAGGACTCGTGCATCGACCTGACGCCTCGTCATCCCGGAGTCTCGAACCAGGAGAGCTATCCACCCCCTTACCAGGTTCTACCGGCTGCTGGCCAAGGAAGAGTCCGTTTGATCCTAGGAAGCCCGCAGGGTCTTGCCTATCAGGGCTTCATGATACTCGCCCGAGACGCGGACACCGGCGAATTGGTCGGTGAATTTGCGAATTTACCTGACACCGCGAAGATCGTCGAGTGCACGCGAGGCGTTAAGGTAACTGACTCGTTATATGAATGTTGCGTGAAACGTGGTTCGATCGCTATCGCCGCTATTGTACTCTAATCGAGTTAACAACAGAGCAACAAATTAATATCAAAAATTTAATTTAATAATCGAATGATTATACAGTAAATATAACAATGGAACGATCGTGCGATAAAACGTTGAGGACACGCGCGATGGGAATCGTAGTTAATTAGGCAATCGAGGCTAAGTGAATCACGTGTCGCGTGTTTTTAGAAGGACAACGCGTTGCGACGATTGAAACGTTTTTTCCTTTTCCTTTTGTTAAGAACGCGGTGACTCACACGAACACCAGCAAGAAGCATAACCTCGAGCTCGACTGGGAGGCACCCGTGGATTACGAAGGCACCATTGTCTTCAAGTGAGTATCGAATTGATCGATTTGAAGAATCAGGACGTGTGTCAATGAAAAGCGAACTGAATTTTCGACGTGCCGACGGTGATACACGATGCGCGATACGGTTGGGCGTACAAAAGGAACGAGGAACGCGGAAGCGAAATGGATCGAGTCACGAAAATCTGCTGTACTTTCACATTAAATTCCTTCATAATCCGTGTCGGACCGTCACGACTCGTAGCGCTCAAAGGTCTTTCGATCTCGTCGTCCCTCCCGAATTGTGCCGGAATTACAATTATAATCGCGTTCTATGCCAGTTTTTAGATCCGCTCCTTTCGAGTTTGCAGAGCTTCTTATCATATTCAAAATACTTGTCATTTTCCTTGCTCGAGTCACATGAATGCAGGTTCCATAAAACGGGAAAAAATCTACTATCCCTGGTAAAATAAACGCGGACCCGTGTTCATTCTAACGTCAGTCGTATAAGTGAATCGCATGTTCAATTTCTAGGACGCACGCGTGTCTATACGTGATCTGTCTGCGTATGAATTACGATTAGAAACGAACGCGTGCTACACGGTGCCGCCCCCGTGCATAGAATAAGATATAAATTAACGGGGAAATGGGTTGGATCGTTCATCGTACGGTTTTCCGTTCGGTGCCAATTTTCGAATAGCCGCGAAACAATGCTGCATTACGTTTTCATTAGAAATTTATAACTAGAAACAGTTGGTAGAAGCAACCCCTGTTTTCTTGTGGGATTCGAACGGTTTCCTTTCGCTATCCGGTCACGATTTTTCAACATTAGCGGCCGCATCGTTTATTCGTTCTCAACATTGTTATCTTTTGTTCCCACGCCTGCACCGGCTGGTTGCATCACGTCTGACCCGGAAGACCGTAATTTATACGCTTATCTGCCGAGATGTTCGTATACGAATCAGCGTTCCCTTTTTTCTTATTATTATCCTTTTGAAAAGCAACAACAGTGAACAGATTCGTGACTGACTATGATACACACCATTTGTAAGATGCTTAAATGGAACTCCTAAGACGTTTAAGTATTTCATTCCACGTGATGGTAGAACTTTCCAGTTTCTCTTAATATCCTACTGGTATTTAGAATTTGCATCAGGCATGATTAGACTGTTTAAATGAGAGACCTTTCGAGCCTTCGATGTGTCAGTCGGTCATTAGGACTTCCGTTTTACTTACGACGGTACAACGAACTTCTCCGGTAATGTCAATTCTTAATTTTACAAAGAACACTTACGAGTATTTCGCAAGTACGCTCATCGAGGATCTATTAATAAGGTTACGCGTTATGCGATTCGAACCTTCGTGCATTATACCAATTATGTATTATACTCCAGGGTGTACGAGTGCATCTAGATCAAACACTCGATATGTCTTCCATCTTTCTAATTCACCGCAAACAAGGCACCGCAATTATTATAAACATGAGCACTTCGCAATTTCCTATCGGTCATGTCTGACCGAGACGTTCCTATTTCCCTTTCACCAAGCCAGAGTTCGATCCCAGGTACGTCCTCGTTCATAAATATTTTACACGTTCTCAAACGTGCGATCGAACGAGCTACTATGAAAACGTAGATGACCGAAAATACTATTTTAATCAGTATTCGCGAAGTACAATTTCGTTGGGACTATTAAAACACTTAATGATTAAATCCGGCCCTTGAATTAACGACGTTTGCAACGTTCGTTAGATTTATTCGACGAAAATAAGGACTTGCGAAAAATATCTCTCATGATCATCTCACGTTTGTTTTCATTTTACAGATCGACGTTCGCTCAGGATTACAATACGTACTGGGTCGGCGTTGAATCGCCGCGAGTTAACGTTCGCAAGCGATTCATCGACGTGTTGACCTCGTCCACCCCGGGCACCACTCAGCGAGCCACAACGCCGCCCTATTATAGTCCGACCGTTGATTACGAGGTAAGTATTCTCTCCCCATTACTTTCCCGACTGTTGATCACGAGGCAAGCGCGGTTTTCACACCCGATAATCACGCTCGTCGTCTTTGCGAGAATCCACAACAGTGAAATAATTCAACCCTTCACCCTTTGATCCGTCTGTTTGCGTTTAACGATCGAATGGACACTGGTGGCCCGTGAGATTCCTCGAAATTATCCAAATTTATCGTTCTAACAGTCAAGTACTCGAAATTTTATACCAGAATAGACATAAATAATTTTTCAAACATGATCTGATTTTCATTTCACGTTACAAGTAAAAGTCAGGTATAGAAACCCAGTTTCAGAGAAACTGGAATAATTAATGATATATTATCTTAAGATAAAGTCTACAAGCTGTAATTAATCAAGGAGTCTATTGATGATAAACAGCGAGCGTACGTTAACGAGCAAAATAAGTTCGCGTTCATATTGGTTCTCGATGCGCACGTGCATTGCCAGTTAATCGCATGCGAATGCATAATTCCCAGTAACGATAAAGGATACGCTCTCGGTTTAATGCTTTCGCCGTTCACTTTCGAGGATCGAACGACCGCGCCCGTTACGATTTTTACTAACGTTACCCCATTGTGAATTTATTTTCACGCGATTGCATCTTCATTGTTCCGAGGCTCGTAACTGGGACAACTAGTGAAACGTTTTCAATTATTACAGTATCAATTATTTATTACAGATATTTAAGCATAATGGAAATTATATGTGCTTTGAATTATTGATACGATTATCGAACGTGCAAAGAGTTTTTCTCTTACTAGCTAGCTTTGAACAGTGGAATGAAAAGGAACGTATCCCACGATCTTCACACGCGTCCGTTTCATCTTTATTCAACAAGCAATTAAAGTAATTACGAGTCCAATTACGTCGCGCGGTAGAGAGGATCAAACGAGTGCAGAACTTAATGAAAATGAAAAAGAGTTTAGAAATAACAGCAGAGCTCTGTTAATTGCCTAAGCACCGATTATTCAGCTAACCAAGAGTTGAAGGCCGGTCGAAGTATCTCTGACAAGATCTTATCGTATTTCAGTACATATTTTTTCTACGTCTATTTGTTTTATGTCTTATTTGCTTCGCATATGTGGTAGCATATCGGTTATATATCGGCGTTAATTGCTGCGGTCGTTTTCAAACGTTAACCCGTTCTCGTTTGAAGGTTTCGACTCGAGTGTCACGGGAGCCCGATTGGCGCCCGCGATAAATGAAAAGATACAGGTCGACGCCGACTTTCTTCTACTCTTTTTTTCCCCGGTCCGCGTATCGTCCTCGTTACCGGTCCACTTTCGAAATGAGATCAGCGTGAGAAAAGGCGGCGCGTGAATGAATCCGTGCCGGGGTTGCTCGCTGGAAACTTGGTCCAACGCCGCGCGGAATTATACCGTGCTCGCTCGGAACTACCCCATTGCTCTGTCGCGTCTTGCGATTTTCGATTAATCCGTGAACCTCTTGAAAATTTGTGATAATCGCCGATGGTATTTCAGCGTGACAATTTCCCTGAACATTTTATATCATTTATATTATTTTTCATCATAGAAGAATTTGAAAATGTGTATTATAAATTTTGAAGGGTGAAATGGATCTGCATTTATATTTCAATTCTCAAACCGACGTTTTTATTTTGCATTGTGCATTTATAGGAAAGTTGAATATGCATACATGCGATGCAATACAAAACGTCGAAAGCAAAATGCATATTGAAAATTCGCAGTCTACTGCGATTCATAGAAATTCGAATCACATTTAAAAATTGTTCTCTAGACAAAGGATGCTGAGGATCCTTTCTACACCGGATGTGGTTCGACGAAGAATTGCTTCGGTACTCCGCCGGGATGTGTAGAGACGAAAAATTGCATGGCAGCGGTCGCCGTGCTCGTTCGTGGAGAACGATACCTGTTCGAGTTGCAAGCCCGTGACAACAGTAAATACGTTGCCGTCGGCCTGTCCGATGACAGCAAAATGGTAATTTACAAGTTAGAGATCTCCTGAATGATTATTTAACGTTTCGTCTGCTGGACAGGGTGACGACAGCGTGGTCGAATGCACGAATGAAAATGGAGAAATCGGACTGCACATGTCTTGGAATACTGGAAAGAAGAACACCCGCCAGCCTATGGTACGTATCTGATTCTTTACTGCATGTTAGACTTGAGAGAGATGTAAGAACTCGAAAGAGAGAAATACCTCGCAACGTGTCGATGTCAGGCGAGCCAGATCAACGCGATCCGATGAATCTGACTTTCGCTAAGACGTAACGTTGTTACCAGTCGATCGTTCATGGGAACGACCTTGCTCCAATCTTTTTTATTTCCTTCGTAGCAAGAAGGAGCCGTCAAATTGGAGGCTGGTTCCATCAAGGACGATATGATCTCGTGCAAATTTTTGAGAGAGAAGACCACGGTCGTCCAAGGCCGCGAGTACGACCTCGTCAACAAGCCTTACAACCTCCTAATCGCCGCCGGAAAGGGTTTGAACAGTAAGCGATCTGTCTAACAATCCTTCCTGCGCTCTCCTGCGTCTTAAATGAAATTTCAGTTAACGAAAGCGGAGACCAGAACGCTTTCAGTAGAATCAGTGCTTCTTTAATCTGTTTAAAGCAACCTCTTTTCCCTAAACGCGTTCTATGAGAGGAGCTGTCAAAGAAGCACGTTTGTTCGTGATTTAGGTAACGGTGTCGGGTTCCACGATGCTGCTTACGCTGCGACTGGAGGTGCGAAGCTGTTGTCCGACGTGGGCGGTTTCACAACGGCGAGCAACGTACTGATTCGAGTGCACGGCGCTCTGATGCTCGCTTCTTGGATCGGTACAGCGTCCGTTGGCATTCTCCTGGCCAGATACTACAGGCAGACTTGGGTCAGCTCGCAGTTATGTGGAAAGGACCATTGGTTCGCCGTAAGTATCCAATTTTTCTGGTAATCGGTGGCTGTCCAAGCCTGGTGCTGGCTCCGTTGGAACTAACGACCTCCGGGGTGATGCCACCTATTTGGCGGGTCGATGCGTCTGTTCGTCAGTCGCCGTTATCGGGGTTAATCGGGATAACCGCGAGTAGAAAGGCAATTTGATAACGTCACGGGTCTTTCTCCTACAAAATTAACAGCCGATCGCAATTTAAATCGAGTGCGTTAATCATTTCGCGTAATCAGATTTTAATTGGTACGTATTTGAACGGCCGAAACTGCACCGTGACACGTACAGGGAATCGTGTTTGCTTTTTGGCGAACGATTCCGATAATCAAATGACAAGAAACAAATTGCCTCTGCTTTGGAAACACGCACGGATTCGATACGAACTTTTCCAATCGCCGTTTGCACAAAGCGCACGATTCATTAATAAGCTTTTCTATATTCAGTCATATTCGTCAAGTGGACCGACTAAATATTGATAGCGTATAAAAATAATATTGTGCTCGTATAGTTCCGGAAAATTGAATACAACGAAGAACGCTCTTAAATTTGGCCGATGTCCAACGATAATATTGAACTGATCTTAGATAGTTCAACGATACTTTTATTTGCTACTTTAAAGATTGCTCGACGATCTTTGAATCGATATCATTAAACACAGCTACAAACGTTTTAACCGAATACAATTACTTTCAAGTGGCACAGATTCTTCATGATACTAACGTGGTCGATGACGATTGCTGCTTTCGTGATAATATTCGTCGAGTTAGGTGAATGGAGCTCCGAGGTAATCCACGCGTCTTTGGGTCTGGCCACGACAATTTTAGCCTTCGTTCAACCCTTTATGGCAGTGATGAGACCCCATCCAGGGGCACCTCGAAGACCCCTCTTCAACTGGGCCCATTGGTTCGTCGGGAACGCGGCGCAAATTTGCGGCAGTAAGTTCCACTTCGAACACGAGAGAAGTAATCGAGCAGCTCTTTGCTTTTACTGACAAATTGAATTTGTTTCACAGTAATTGCGATCTTCTTCGCGGTGAGATTAAACAAGGCGAAACTCCCCGAGTGGATGGACTGGATTCTAGTCGCCTACGTCGTATTCCACATTCTGACTCACCTCGTTCTGACGGTAAGAAATTTGATACCTTTGGGACACCGAATCATACGGACACCTGTCCGGTGTATGAGCTTAAGTGGGATTTTCGACTAGTGGGCGTCCAGTTTAATCTATAAATGGACACCACGCGGGAAATAGGGATCAAATGATATCTTGATACCGAATGAATGCGTGGAAGTTCATATCGTTAATAGACAGTTCTGACAATCAATCTCAGCTATCGGGCCATTGTTTAACGAAGGGAATTGATCGTGTTATAGTTCGTGGGATGCGCGTCTGATAGGCAGGCAAGTCAGAGGGTGAATTCGTTCCCGATGAAAGACATGCACTCCCGCGGCTCGATGGTTCACCCAGACGCAAGGCAGGACGCTCCCGTAAGTTTCTCGGCATCACGATTTTAATCCCCCTATTAGCGACCATTTCGACTTTGATTTTCTTTTTAATCCAGCACGCTGGAGTAAGGAAATTCATCTTCGGCGTGTACTTCGTGGTGATCGTCCTATTCACCGCTGCTCTGATCGTGATCACCGTGCTAGCACCCATCGAGGACACTTGGGTCACCATCACGAACACCATAAAAAATTATTAAGACGCCGTTTAACCGACTTGCATGGTCGGGTGTGTACGACGATTCGAACGCGTCGCGATAAATTTTGGATCGCGTGGTACACTCTCGGGTGACTGTTCATATGCAAATTCAGTCCTGATTCGAGATAAATCATCGTTCACAGCAATTACGTGACAATACAGCGTACACAGTCGAGATTATCTGGCCTTGACATATTTAATTAACGTCGAAGTCGAAGTTGCCGACTGTTCAATTGTAATTTACGTTATCGTAAACGTTGATTAACATATACCGAATTGAGCCGAATTGGGTCATCAATTATGCGAAACGAATTTAATCGTACTTAGTAACGGTGTGTTCGGAATTTGGCTTAGATAAGCAAACGTAGGAGTATATTTTTGAAGATAGTTTCAAGTTCGTAATAAGAAGTGTGTTCATCGACGTAATCATTTCTTCCAGGCATGTCCAGATCTTAAGGATGGGACCGCGCTCCCGTGGACATGCCTGATCTTCTCTTCCATCTGTCTCGGATGCTTTCTCTAACATGCTAATAGACTGATTTTTCACGATTGAGAAAAATAACATTCGCACAAGTTATTCGTACAAACGTCCGTCCAACTAATACTATAAGAAGATAACTTAAATATTTCTTAAAACATTAGATATCGTTCGCAGCATGTACTTCGTTGTTCGGTGCTTTTAATCGTAAGTTTCCATTGAACCAATTAAGATTACATATTTATGGTAACATTTACAGTATTAGTTTTTGTAACGTGTCTCCCCGATTTTTACACGCGTTTAGATTTACTTTCTACGATGATAAGTGTTGTTCTGCATCTGCTCGTGCGTCGAGCCTCATAGGCTCGCGCTTGATTATTAACCGATATAAAAATGTTCTCACGTGTTATTGATTGTTAATAAAGCCGTAGGAAGGTTGCGCGAGAAAATTGTTCAGCGAAAATGGAAATTCGTGTATGTAAACAGGAATTTTGTACGAGAAGGAAAAAGGAAACTTGTCAGTGTTTTTCTTAATTCTTGACTATTTATTTCAACCCTTTATCTCTGTTTTAATTTGATCCTGCGACTCGTTCCAGATTTTCGTCGCATCGACTTTTCCACGGGCGAAAGATATTCGAAGTGAACTCGATTAACTGTAAGGGCCTGTTGTTAACCGGCTTAAAACGGAATCTGAATTAAGTTAACTTGAACGATAAGTGAAAGTCGCAGGAGTACCGCTACCCCGGTATTTATTTCTTTTATATTAAAAGCCCTGTCGTCGCCGTTTAACCCTCTCTCGTTCCCCCCTCGTAACGGTAAATGCGAGATCCTCATGAATTTCACCCAACCTTTGTCGTACGATCATCGTTAAACCAGATAGTTAACACATTTAAATCCGCCGATCGATGCGCTGTCTATTATTCTGAATAAACGAGTAAAACGATTGATTCGCACTTATAACACGTTGTACAAATTATAATACGGGCGAACGTGTACGAAACAGAGAATCTGTGCGAGGACTCCGTCTGTTCGCGTACGAATTTGCGTGAACATCGACGGCATGCGAGATAAGCGTTTTTACGAACGAATCGATAAGCAATTGTTGCAACATTTATGTATCAACGAGAGCAGCCGTACGGTTAATGAGGCAACTACTCACGAAATCGTGACTTCGTAGTCATCGGGGAAGCTGCGTTCGGGGCGGAATGTTTTCGAGAGCAAAGGAAAATAGTGAGGGAAATTGTGAAAAAAAATATGGCGGCCGATCGAAGGCGGTGGCGTCACGACGCATGCCGCTACGCGACGCTCGGAGTCCTTCGGCGGCGCCACCGTCGACTAACCCCCGCAGTTCGATTGGAGACACCGGCCGGTGTCGACGGCTGTCGCGCAGCTCCTTCGAACACGGTTTCGCGTGTGCGTTTCAAGTAATTCGGATCGTATTTAGTTTCATCTCCTCATTGGACGACGAACGTGAGATCAGATTTTGCACAGGTACGACAGCGAACAAACCGTTGCTTCCACTTTTCTTGCTCCTCGTCACTTTTACCTTCACCCTTTGCGTTATGAGTATGCCTCTCTCTTCTCGTTTCGTTTCGAAGATAGTTCGAGGTTATCGTGTAAAACATGCATCCGCTTAACGTTCTGATCAGATTCATGCGGTAGTTCGATCGCGGTGAGGCGCGTACGCAGATTCGGTCTCGACCGGTTCGATCGTTGGTCGTTGAACTTTGCGAAGATTAAGGGAAGAGAGTTCAACGTCGGCTCGGTAGTCGATAGTTGACATTCGAGCTTAAGAACTCCGTGTCAGATCGAAATAATCGTGCTTAGCTACTCGAGTACCTCGTCGTGCTTCAAAGCGCGGTGGTTAACCTCGTGTAATCAAATAATCGTAAACGATATGATCTCTCCTCAGTTTCAATCGAAATTCACCTCGGACCTGGACCGAAGGAAGACCCTAGAACTGAGAACCGGTTTCTTTCGTTATTAAATACGCGTTATCGATACGCACGCGAACGTCGATTGAATTTGCATCGAGTAAATAGAGACAGTATTCGATAGCTCGCCGACGGGTAACGGGAATTGCAAATATCTGTAAGGGAACTCATTATGTGCACGATTGAATGTTAAACTGCATAATTACGTGCTGTCTCAGCGTATACTCGTTTTGTTGTCGTCTATCCGCGAATGAAGCTTGAATGATAAACGCGGCCGTGACGAGCGCGAGTTCGATGATTCTATGATAAATGTACATATTTACACGGCACTCTCCTCGTTTGGGCAGCGAGCTATCATTATCGTTTACATTTTCACGAAACATTATAAAAAATCGTGTCATAGAAGGAATCCTTGTTTTACGTTTCTGTTTTTTATACAGGCTTTCGTGTTGCGTTAGGGATGAATTTGAGGATTGAACTACATTTCACAAGAGTAATGAAATTCCTTGATAAATAGTTTCCATCAGAGTTTCGACAAGCTACGTTCGAGAAGAATTACCTGTTTTTAGATGATGAATTAAGAATTATATAAAATATCAACGAGCTAGACATAGTTTGAAAATCAATACGGCTCGAGTAAGATCAGTGACTAGCGAACATTACAATTATATGAATTCTTTTAGAAAATTGAACATCAATCTGAGCAGTGATTTGCTCGTAACGTTTACAAGTCGCGTTATTTATTAATGCCGGCGTAGTTTTTCCAACCGTGGAAGGACGCGATTTTCGCGCAGAAGAAAAGGACAGTTGCGGTATCAAACGCGGTGTACTCGATACGGGTACGAGTACGTCTCCTTGACACGACCTCTCCCTTTCCGACAATTTCGATCTCACGCTCGCGTTCTGGGCCACTTGACCGAGTGCCTTCGCATTGTTCGCGCAAAGAAGTGTTTTCGCGCAGCTCACACAGTGTTTCCACAGTGCTCGTTACGCTCGAATCTCCCCAATTTCGTAGAGAATCCAACCCGGCCCGGGGCGCGTCGGGTATAATAGAAGTGTCATCGACCGGCTGAGTGCGCGTCGCGACGTCAGCTCGACCGCGAGAATCGATCGTCGATCCATACCCGAGTTCCGCGAGAAATGCGAACGTGAACACTCGTCGAGGTCGAAGCGTCGTGCATGTTCATCGCGGGACGATGGCCGGACTCCGTGCTTGCTGGATTCTCGTGATCCTCGGTCACCTGGCGGTCACGATGCTCGCCCAGAATCCCATCGAGGAGAAGACCACCTTCGAGGCTGCTTTCCAAGGTAAGTCGATCGCCTACTCGTCAATCGATTTTCGCCCACTGCGATTTCGCGTGCAGCTAAAAGAATGTTCGTAGTTGAATGTTGTCGTCCTAACGAGACTACTCCTTTCCATGTACCGTATTTGCGAACGGGTATATGAAATGGTCGTAAAAACTGGCATCGATTGAAAACGAAAATAGATGATGCTCCTGTTTAATCGAAAATACGTAATACCGGCAGACATCCAATGTTATTAATTGTTACGGCAAATATTCCAGGTTAAACGCGTTTGTATTACACTCGAAAATTTATTTCGAGCGTGTTTTTGCTTATCACGAATTCACCCAATGCACCTCCATTACCGATCCATTTGTCAACCCTCCGGATACCATTTGGTAACATTTTTATAATACAGCCGTGCACACACCGTCGAAACTTAATTAACGTTCGCATATTTGCCCACGGTGTGGAGGGGTAGGGGGTGTTCCTGTCGGCGAATGAATCCGTATTGACAAAGTCGATTCGAATGCATTAACAAATTCTCGAAACTATTTTGAATACGTGAACGCCAGCCCGAATAGCTGAAAACGTTTGTTCGGCTCAAATCTGCGAACATTTTCATACCCGTCCCCACGGCGTTTTCATAGTACGTTTGTGCGCACGTGTACGTATGTACAGCCAACGTGATATCAATTCAATGATTGAGCCTCTCGTCGCATTCATTTTAATACGCGTTTGTCACGAGTTGAAAAATATCTCGCATCGCTCGTATTGCCTCCTCGACTCTCTCATTGTTTTTCCCGTTTCACCAAGCGATACCAATGTTTTTATTGAGTACTATTCTTTATAATCGCGTGCCGTTTTATCGTGAACAGAATTTTCAATGGCGACGCATAGAATTTTATGTTCGACCAAGTTCATCGGTGCTCGTGTCCCGATCTTGTTTCTTTTTTTGATAAGCTCTTTGTTCACGGAGTTTGGCGCGATGTGTTTACGTTATGAGGACACGGTATGTCGCGTCGCTGTTAATGGCGAACGGGGGAGGCCGCCGCTCCCTTTGCGATATCTCTGCGGGCTCATTTGCTAATAACCAGAAAGCAATTAATATCACGGTCAGTTGCTACCCTTTAAACGTCACGGTGCATACTGAACTGGTTACGTTCTAACGATCTGACGTAATTCTAATAAGATGACTCATTGGTAAACTGCAAAATTTCGTTCACTGTTGGGATGGGCGCTTTGATATTCGATGCGTTTTCACGTAAATTACATCCGTTAAGAATCCGTATATACGTGGATTCATTCATCAGTGCGTTGTTTTCGGCTTGTGACTGGTTCGTTCCATTGTTTAAGCGAGTTACACCGAACCCATTCAACGTTTGAAAAGGGTGTTGAATAAAATAACAGTCCATCGCTGTAGTTGAGACGAATTCGGAAAGTCGCGTAAATTCTCCATATTCCGGTATTCGTTGAGCGCGTACCCGAGACAATAGGCACGGGGGAAAAACTAAAGCGGGATTAAGGAATCGATCGATTTAGTTGCCGGTGCAAACAGAGGTGAATTATGTATTTTCAAGTAGGCGAGCCGAGACGTGCCTTCCGCCAAACGAACGAATTTCCCTTGTCTTTGTGTTTGCTCACGGGCTTCTTGTGCTTCTCTCCTTCGTTTATTCCCCTTTGCTCGTCTCGCTTTCCACGCCGCGAGAACCTAGCGAAAGGACGACATCGTCCACCCTAGAACCTTGCCCACTTATTTCTCACGCTCCTATCTCTGTGAGAGGGTTGTTCGAACATGATAGCAGGCCAGCAAATGCACTCGTGAGAAGAGTTCCACGATGGTGAAATCTCTTACAGAGTTCCGAGATCGCGAAATTTTCCAGCCAAAGAAATCGTGCGTGCACAAGTCTGAGTTTCAAAAATTTGACAAGTACCATAATTATTTGGCATCGTCGATTGAAAGATCGCAGTCGATCATTGAACAGATCGTATAATAAATTGTACAATGAATACTTCTTAATCTGTATAATTTTGCAAACGGTATAGTCAGACGTATGTTGAAATCAATGTTTCTACAAAAGTTTTATTGGGTAATGTTCATGGTCACAGTGGGTCGATTCTTCATGCGAGTGAGTGAATAATGGAATAGGCTGTTGTAGGAGAATTTAAATTGCGTTCCGTGTCCGATGCCACTGTTTCGTGTTCGTCGTATATTATAGTCGAGAACTCATACGACCTTAACACGGTCGTTAGGCACGTGTTCCAAGTTGTATTCTCTCCCTTCTGAAGAAACGATCAATTGGAGTGATTCATTATTTTGACTGATCCAGTGTTCGTATATCCGATCGTATACTTAAAATTGAGAATTTTTAGTACTTGAGTAGTACGAAGATCGAACAAACGTTTATTATTACTAGTATTTAACACTAGAAAGACTGAAACTTAGTATATACCTATATTGCCCAAAGCAGTAAAAATGACTGCATTGTGAAAGAATAATGTGTAAAGAAATTTGTCTAAAATTAATTTTTAATATTTTTTATACTATTTACAGTCATATAACAAGTTATTAGTAAATGTTAACAATAAAAGAAATTTACTTCACTTGGGAAAAAAAATAATTTATGCATTATTATTTGTACATTTGCCCAAAAGCAGTCAAAATGACTTCCTTGGGCAATCTAGTGTTAACTAACAAGAACTCTATTCTTTTCGAAACATATATTCCTCAGGCAACGAGCGTTGAAAGAATATTTCTACTCATATTATAATAGAATCACGGATGAACCACATAGAAACTTATTAGTTGATAACCATAGAGAGGACGTGCCGATCATTTGCAATTACTTCGAAAGCATTACCGGGTTTCATCGTATCGCGTTGCGGGTGCAGTGCGCCGGTGATTAATGCCAGGATTCAATTGTTTAACGCATCATCTCGGTTCGTTTGGGTCTATTTACAATTCAGTTGTTGATTAATGATCTCGGGAGTAGCGGCGCGAACAGCACGTGTGGCTCGTATCATAGAAACACCTATTAATCTTACTAAGGTCTGTCCATTGTAACCGAACAACGGTCCGCACTGCGTTAAGGCATGACCTGATACTTGGGCGCGTTTAGTGGCTGCGCAGGTGCACGTTAACATTCGCCGCCGCCGCCGCCGATTCGATTCGTATACATATGCATGTATCCTCTGCGAATGGCTATACGCCGCGTTCAACTAAACGCAGCCCTGGTTCGAACTTAACGCAATGGTACACACGCCGTTGTATACACACAATGCTTGTCCATACGCAACCTGCTGAAAGCGTGTATATTTTCTGATTGCCTGATTCGCTGTCTGTCACTGATAATCAGTTCTTTTATCGAATTTTATCAACGCAATTTAGTGCAAACGATTCGGTTAATTAATCGTGTCGTTATACTAAATATTTTAATCAAAATGGATGCATTTCATATAGTAATCGCGAATGCGACGCTCGATACAGTATTTGATATAACTGTAACTCGTATATTGTTTGGTGGCAGTTTTCTGATGGTCGGCGTATCGCTAATTATGTAAATGAGCTAATGGGTTTCAATGTTCCCCAGAGGTTTTTTGTTTCCATCTGAATATATCATGTTTCTTCTAAATTGATTGACGTGCCTAATGGATTGGATAATGGTTCACATCGTCTAATACTTTATATCCCAAAATAATCGTAAACGAGATCTACTCTTTCACGGTGATAATCGTTTAACCAATAGTAGATTAATCGTAACGGGTAATAATCGTTCAGATATTTGGAAAATCGTCTGGATAAACCGTTCAATGAAACGGGCTATAATTGAAGATATTTATCAAGGATTACATATGACGAATTTCATCCCCGTTAACCACGATATGAATTATTTCACAGTTATTACATATCGCGTTCCATCTGTATCGGTCCTTCACAACCGTTTTGTAAACTTTTATCAGGAGTTTGCTTAGAAAATTGCTTTGTACACGTGTGCTACTGGAAGTACTTATTAAAATGATGATTGGACCGTGTACACTTTTTAATAGAACGTTTAAATATGTAAAGAAGGGTCGTGTAGAAAATTACACGATTCAAGATATGGTACTCGATCAAGCGTAGAGAGTGCAATTGTTCTTCTTTTTTGCTGATGTTTATAGAAACGTGAATTTGCATAAACATCGGTACTATTTTTGACGGCCGATTTTAAGAGACGGAACGAATTACTGATTCTGACGTACGAAGGAGTCGTTCAGTCTGAGGTAACAGTTGATTTAATAAATGTTTTAAACACGCCGTCGGCCACTTCCTAGTGGGATTATTTTTGAACAGATTTAAGCCAAGGGTGAGCAGCCTCTAGTACTCTATTTTGCAAAACCGTTTAGTTCGGAATGGGTCTAGTGTAGTCTAGCATGCGTAGCCTTAGTTAGTTTTTAATTACGTCCGAGGATCTGTTTAATCGCGAGGAGGTAAAAATGTGCCGGCTCTTGTGAGCCGCGCGAGCGAGTGTTGGCATTTGAGAAAAGTTAGTCGAGCGTCGAGCCCCGGCGTGAAAGGGAAAGGTCACGAGATTCACGAGAATAGAAGGGGCTCAGTAGAGTGACCTTTTACAATTATATTTAATTTGTCTGCTTCTCAACCTACGTCCCTCCTTTTTTTCGATTCTTCAGTTTGGCTACCCCTTGCTCGTTAGAAATATGTAATTCACCCGCGTTATTTCCGACGCTCCACTCGTTTGCACGGTGCTCTTTTCGCGAGAATACTTTTTCAAAGAAAAACACCGAACGTGGAGTTTTTAAAAATCGTTCTACGGTAACAAAGGGTACGCTCGGTGAGGTGTTAACCGATATTTTTCCGCTTTCCCGGTTGATACAGCGCGAGGGGAGAAGGAACGCGCCTCGCTCGAAATTTCTGTTTGCAATTTTCTTTCTCGTGTCGCGGACACCCGACGTTCGAAGTCGGCTACGAAGTTCACGAGCTGCCATTTTCACAGACCGATCGTTCTACTTTGACGTTGTAAAAAATG